AATAATCGGGACTACCTTTAGAACGAGAAAGAAAGGAGCTTAGGGTTGGTTCCAATTACCTTTTGGCGTGGCCCTTGAGGGGTATTTATATGTTCTAATGAAGAACCCACGTGGCATGCCAAGCAAGATATTCGGGATCTGATGTGTATCTCCAGACGGCAAGATATTCGGGATCTAATGTGTATCTCCAGACGGTTATTTCGGGACCGAGAATTTGAGAGAAATTCAAATGCAAGGATGTCCATCGTGACTGCTATGCAGCTTATTATAAAGGATCAGATACAGGCATGCCTACTGTTGCTGTCATGCAACTATTTGAGTGGGAATCTTTGGATTTATCCTTCACTTCGGTCATGAAGAAATTACTGTCGTTCGTCCGAGGTTGAGCACCTTGGACCTGTCCTTACACTATTCCCCCCCCCCCCCTGAAGTCATTCACTTGTGAATGACGTTGTTGGAGATAGTGGGGGAAGTGCACAAATAGAAATGAAAGGAGATACAAGTATGATAGATGAGTTACAGAAGTAAAAATGGAAATAAAAACAAAAATCTGTACCGCAAAGGTATGCATAGCCGTAGCCGTGGCTAATAGTGAAATACGTGATAAGGGGTCATGTTGGCCATGCCCAAAAATAAAATAAAAGGTAATCGGATTGCTCATGGCCGAGGCCGTGGTAAAAAGATGGCTGGAGTCAAATAGGAAATTAGTAACATAGTAAAAATGAATGATCGGAGTCATCGTGACCGAAGTCACAGCAAAATATGTGAGACAGGGTCACTGTGGCGGTAGCCGAAATGAAACGTGTGACACTGGGTCACTGAGGCCGCAGTCGAAGTAAAACATGTGACACTGGGTCACCGGAGCTGGAACCAAAGTAAAACATGTAACACTGGGTCACTGAGGCCGGAGCCGAAGTAAAACATGTGACACTAGGTCACCGGAGCTGAAGCCAAAGTAAAACATGTGACACTGGGTCACTGGGGCCGGAGCCGAAGTAAAACATGTGACATTGGGTCACCGGAGTTGGAGCCGAAGTAAAACATGTGACACTAGGTCACTGAGGCTGGAGCCGAAGTAAAATACTTATGCAAAATTAAAAATGGAGAAAAGTGGGCAAGAGTGTTGAAATGGGCTTAAGTGGGCTCGTTTGAGAAGTCTGACAAAGAGGCAGCACGCAACGCGACAGCTGTCCTCTGAAGGACGTGCGTAATAAATGCCGTCGTAAAAAAGATTACTGCAATAGCCTAACTGGTATATTTAAGAAACGAACCATCGAGTTCGAAACGATGCCATTTGGGGTTAACCGGTGAATTTGAAACGGTGTCTCTGCAGCCGTTAGATGGGGTTAATCACGGCTATTGAGGCGCATTTTGCCTTTGGTATAAAAGGCTAGACTTCTGTAAAGAAGGGCTTTTACTTTCGTGATTTTGTTTCCAAATTCTTGCTAAATCTCTGTGGTTTCGTGCGGTCTGCGCTTTGTTTGAGGCTTCAACAATAGTTTCCCAAGACCAAAATCAGGTAATGTTTATGAATTTTTTATTTTGATTTGGTCGAAGTGTTGTTCTCCTTTCTCCCTTTCTGTGGTTGATTTGGGGTTTTTTGAAGGAAATTAGGGTTGAGGATGAGAATGTATTGAGTGTGTTAGCATTGTTAAGGGTCCTGACTCTGTTCCTCCTCCCACTTTATGCAGAAATTGAGGAGATGTCTTCAGAAGGGACCATGAGTGTAGTGGGGAGTGAGGTGATGCCCCTGGATTACGGGAGCATGGACTCGGAGAGCAGTCCGTCTCCCACCAATTCGGAGAGGACAGTGGAGGAGAGGAAGGATGAAAGAGTATTATAAGAGGAGGAAGATGAGATCCCCTCAAATATTTTGGAGGCTGGGGGGGGTGTAAATGGGTGTTATGACCCAGACTTAGATATAGTGTCTGAGGTGAGGGGGTATGTGAGTGAACTGGGCAATAGGAGCAGCCTTAGGGGTCTGGCAGAAAACTACAACCTCCCTCACCATGTCCTGATTAGGCTAGCCGGGGTGAACGAGCAAGCATGCTCAGCACCCCGAGATCATTGGATGCCCCTGTACGTCCATTATTTAATTGCAGGGCTTAGGTTTCCCATCCCAGAATTACTGGTTGGGTTGTTATTAGATTACAGTATAGGAATAACCCAACTAACCCCAAATGCCATAAGGGTAATAATAGGCTTTCTTGTATATTGCAGAGCTCGGGGGGTTGGGGTCCCTACGGTAAATATGTTTAAGCATTTTTTTGTAATAAAGGGTGGGGGGTAGAGGTGAGAAGGGGTGGTACTACTTCGGCCCTCGGTCGTCCAGCAAAGGGAATAAGAGTTTGTTCTCTGCTGGACCGTCATCCATCAAAGGATGGAAAGAAAAATTCTTCTTTGTGGATGACACCGAGTGGAGTAGGAGGGATGCCGAGGTGGAGCAGTTGTCTGCTTGGAAGGCTAAGAAAACCAAGCAGAACAACTATAAGTTAAATGAGGATGAGGTGGAGGAGGTGGAAAAGCTAGTGAGGGAGGAAGGAGACGTGGTGGATATCCTGTACCTCACCAGTCCGAAGGCAATAGAGGCTGCTGAGCTCTATGGGCCAAGCTCATTGAGCGAAGGTTTGTGTATGTTTACATTGTGCCATTTTGGTTAGATTTTAGTTGGTGTGTTTTGACATTTGTGCTTGTTTTGCAGCTGAGATGGACGAGTTTATAAATGTTGCTGGGGGGCTGCGCATCCCAAAGAAGCCAAGGAAGAAGTCAAAGACTTCAACTGCGACGGACAAAGGGGTGGCAGAGAAAGAGCGCCTGCTCAGCACTTCTGCTCGAGTGCTGGAGATACAGCAGAGGCCAGAGCCTGCAAGGGGGGATAGTAAGGAGGTGAGTGAGGAGGTGGCACCACTCCAGAGAAAGAAGAGAAAGGTGGCAGAGCCAGAAGCGAGGGGGGATGAGGTGGTTGAGTTCGTACCCCGGCCTTTTCCTCCAAAAATTGATCCTGAAGTCCGGGAGAGGGAGGAGGCCATGGTATGAGGTCTTGGTAAAGGCAAGGAGCTCATCCCTCCTCATTCATACCAGAAGAGTTTGTTCGAGGAAACAAACACTACTGGAGCGAAGCGGTTCCTCGATGCAACGCTGCCTGAAGTGGATAGGAGGCAGGCGAAGCAAGAGGCGGTGAGCCACCTGGGTGCTCGCGTCGTAAAGCGCACCTTGGAGGTATGTAAAGAAGTTACTATTTATTCATGTGTTACTTTTGGGTTTATTACTTCTACATTTGAGTTCTAACTACTGCTGGTATTCCAGAGTGCGAGCTGGGTCAACGCTCTTGCGCAAGAGTATGCGGAGATCGTGAAAGATTGCACCAACTGGCAGAGGCAATGTGAGGCCCTGCGAAAAGAGAAGGAGGAGTTGCAGAAGGAAAAAGAGGAGCTGCAGAAGAAAAACAAGCAGATGCAGAGGAGGTTGGACGAGGTGGTGCCAACAGTGACCGAGCTCCAGAGTGACAGAGAATCTTTGAGTACCAGGCTTGTCTTTGAAGAGCGTAAAAGGAAGATTTGTGAAGACAAGCTTGATGCTCAAGATAAATACGTTGAGAAGATGAACCAAAGGATGGTGGAGCTGAAAAAGAACGTGGAGCTGTTGGTACACAACAGGATGGAGGGGCACATCAGCAACTTCCTCAACTCCAACACCTTCGAGAACATCCTCAAACTCTACCGGCTGCCCACCGCAATTCTGGCCTTCATCGACTGTAGAAAGAAGGTGAAGGCCCAGTACCCAGAGGTGGACGTCACAACGGTCACCTTTGGGGAACAAGAAGAAGGAGTGGAGGAAGATGGTGAGAGCCTTTCTATTGATTTCCGGCCTCAGATCACGCTGAGGTGGGAGCGTGATGCAGAGGGGCGCACTATTTTTCCTCTAACCTTTGATGTTGAGTTAGTGGCCGTGGAGGGAAAAGAAGAAGAAGAAGAGCAAGGTGCAAGAGAAGAGAATTAGGCAAACCAGTTCGAAGTTCAGCCTCTTGTTGTCCATCCAGTCTCCTTTGATGAAGTGCAGCAGCTAGCTCCGCCTGAAGCAGAAGTGCCGCCTCTGCCTGCTGGGGACGAGCCCAGATCGCCACCTCTTCCTCTTGAGGAGCAGCCTCCTCCTCCAGCAGAGTAGTTTAGGATTTTACGTCTGACTCTTGTAATGAATATTTTTGTAATTGACTTTGACCAATTGAAAAATTTTTTTGAAGTTATTTGTGACTTGCATATTTTGATGTTTGTTCGTTGTGTCTGTTTTAAGTAAATCACTTTGAATGAAAAAAAAGTAACTATAATTGACACAAGGGTCTGACCTCGGACACAGTAAAATGAGCTGCAAGGGAATTGACTTCGGACCTTAAACATATAGATGAGAAAAGATATAGTAAATCACTTCAAAAATATAGTATAACTGATTAATAAGATGATAACTTAGAAAATGAAGTGACTAAATGAGTCAGAATGAACTGACTTCAGAAATAAGTGAAATCCATTGTCAACGTATAGAAGAGTACACAGAACTGAATTACTTCGAATATGAAGTGAAACTTATTAATGAGATAAATGAATTGAGTTCAAATACACATTAGGTTGGGCGGAAGGAATGGAAGTAACAACGATTAAGACAAAATTCACTTAAATGAAGTATACTTAAGGGTAAAACTTCTTCAAGTTATTGACATTCTAGACTCTAGGAACCCGTTTGCCCTCAGTGTCCCGCAGGATATAAGCACCTAAGTGCGGCACTTCGGCTATAGTGTAGAGGCCTTCCCAGTTTGGTGCCACCTTTTCAAATCGAGTTTCGAACCTCGTTAGACCAGCTTTCCTGAGAACAAGGTCTCCTACTTTGAATGTTCGGGGTCGAACTCGTTTGTTGTAGAAGTTTGCTATTTTCTGCTTGTAGACTAGAGTTCGAAGTCGTTCTTCTTCTCTGACTTCATCAAGCAGATCAAGGTTCTCCCGAAGCAATTGTCCATTTCGTCCTTCATCGAAATAGGTGACCCTGAAGCTTGGGACTCCTATCTCGATAGGAATGACTACTTCGGTACCAAAGGCCAGATGATAGGGTGTTTCACCTATGTCAATTGATTATAACTTTAGAATGCGCTTTACGCGTTATGTATATTCGTTCTAAGGTAAAGCCGTAGCAGAGGAAGTAAAACAATGTAAAGTTAATCAAATAGACCAGGTTTAAAGTAATACCTGTGGCAGTTCGACTCATGGTTCTGTTTGCCCAGAGGACGTTGTTGAGCTCGTCTGCCCATTTAGCCTTGTGTTGTTCCAATCTCGGCTTTATACCTTCTACGATGCATTTGTTAACAAATTCGACTACGCCGTTGGACTCCGAATGGTAAACTGAGGTGAACTGCAGTTTGATCCCATAGCTGGAACAGAAATCCCGAAATGAGGCGCAATTGAATTAAGTTCCGTTGTCAGCTACAATCTGACTCGGGATCCCATATCTGCAAATAATCGAGCTGAAAAGAAAGTCTTCGACCTTCTTGGAGGTAAGACTGGATAATGCCTGAGCTTCGACCCACTTTGTGAAATAATCCACACCAACGATGAGATGGGTTATACCTCCTACCCCCTTCATAAATGGACCTAAAAGGTCAAGACCCCACTGAGCAAATGGCCAAGGTGCTACCAGAGTAGTGAGCTCTTCTGCAGGCTGGTGGATCAGATGTGCGAAGAACTGACACTTCTAACACCTCTGTACGAACTGAATGGCATCCTTATACATGTTGGGCCAATAATAACCTTGTCTAAGGACTTTATGGGTCAAAGTTCGAGCACCTACGTGACTTCCGCAGACACCTTCATGCACCTCTTGAAGTGCGTATTCAGCCTCGTAAGGGGTTAGGCAACAGAGCAGAGGGAGTGAGAAAGATCTCTTGTAGAGGACATCATTAACAAGGGTATACCGAGATGCCTGCTTCCGCAACCTCATCTCTTCTTGTTTATTCGCAGGTACTGTGCCATCTCGTAGAAACGAGATAATTGGATTTGTCCAGCTCGATGAGCTAGGATCTGTGCTGACCTCCATCACTCGTGGCTTCAAGAAGCTAGGCTCGTCCAGAATTTCTACAAAGACCGATCTCGAGCTTTGGCAGAAACAAACTTGGAGAGGGAGTCTGCTTGCTCATTTTCAGCTCGAGGTATTTTGCTTAAATGGAATTTCTGGAATTTGGCCTTCAGTTCAGCCACTAGAGCTGCATACTTTATCATAATAGGATCAACTACTTCACAAACTGTGTTGACCTAATTGACTACTAGCTGTGAATCACTGTATATTTGTATCACTTCAACCTTCAACTCTATCATTAGCTGTAAGCCGAGTAGCAGGGCTTCGTATTCGACCATATTGTTGGTGGCATCAAAATTAAATTTTAGAGCGTGTTCGCTTCGATACCCATCTGGGCCAAGTAGGAGTGCACCAGCGCCAGAACATTTATTACTTGATGCGCCATCAACATACAAAATCCAACTGTCCACCTCGGACTGGGAATTAGAGTGAGCCGAGGTACATTCTACTATGAAATTGGGAAGAGCCTGAGCTCGGATTGCTGACCTCTGCTGAAATGTGAGCTCAAATTCGCCCAGTTCAACTGCCCATTTGATCAATCTCCCCGAACATTCTGGCTTCTACAAAATTTGTCTGAGTGGCTGGTCCGTGAGGACTATGATTGGGTGTGATTGGAAGTACGGTCTCAGTTTCCTGGCTGAAGTGACAAGTGCTAAGGCTGCTTTCTCAGCAATGGAATATCTAACTTCAGCTCCATGTAACACACTACTGATGTAGTAAACTGGTTTCTGTTGCTTCCCCTCTTCCCTTATTAGCACAAAACTGATAGCTTCATTTGAGATGATGAGGTACAAGTAAAGTATTTCTCCATCCTCGGCCTTTGTCAGCAAAGGAGGTGAGCTAAGATAAGACTTCATCTCGTCAAATGCATCTTGGCATTTTGGATTCCATTCAAACTTCTTTTGTTTGCCAAATTCATCCTTCTGGGCTGCCAATCTCATAATCTTGAAGAACAACAAGCATTTATCTACTGATTTCAAAATGAATCTATGCAGAGTTGCTACTCTCCCCGTCAACCTCTGTACATCTTTTACCGACTTCGGTGGCTCCATCTCGGCTACTGCTTTGATCTTCTCAGGGTTGAACTCAATCCCCCTTCTGGATACCAGGAAGCCTAGAAATTTTCCCAACTCCACACCAAAGATGCACTTTGCTAGGTTTAACCTCATTATGTTCTTCCTGAGATTGAATGTCTCCTCGAGGTCAGCTAAGTGATCCTCAGCTTTCAAACTCTTCACCACTATATCATCAACATAAACTTCCAAATTCCAACCTATTTGAGCTCGGAATACTATGGTAACCATCTTCTGGTAAGTGGCACCTGCGTTCTTCAAGCCGAAGGGCATCATCACATAGCAATAGATTTCATCGCCGGCATAGAACGAGGTTTTTTCTTCATCCTCGAGAGCCATTGGCACCTAGTGATATCTTGAAAATGCATCCAAGAGACTCAATCTCTCATTTCCCAAAGCTGCCTCAACCAGCTTATCAATGTTTGGCATTGGATAACAGTCCTTTGGACATGCATCGTTGAGGTTAGTGTAATCAATGTACATCCACCATTTACCGTTTGCTTTTTTCACCAGCACCGAATTGGCGACCTATTCACAATAATCAACCCTTCTGACAAAGCCAACTTGTAGGAGTTTCTCGACTTCTTCTTTAATAACTTTTAACCTTTCCCCCCCAAAGAGGCGTCGCTTCTAGGCTACTGGTTTCTTGAGTGGATTGGTGCTGAGTTTATGTTGAGAAACTGAAGTGGGAATTCCCGGCATATGTGCTGAAGTCCATGCAAAAACATCTTTATTGGCCCGAAGAAAAGCTATTAGCTCTGCTCTTTCCTCCAGGTTCAATTTAGTCCCAATTTGCGTTTTTCGGCTCGGATCTCTGTCATCAATCTGTACCTCTTCCACATCTTCAACTGGAGCAGCTCTGGTTTCATCTTTTGGTCGATTATCTACTACCTCCACACCCATAACTTGCCGATTGTCAAGAATCCTTTTTGGGATTGACCACGGGTGTCTGATCTTTGCCCTTCTGAGGTTGTGTGACCGAGGTGATATAACAATGTCGGGCCACCTCCTGATTGCCTCGCAGCGTTGCTATTCTCGTAGGAGTTGGGAATTTCATGCATAGGTGAGACTGGGAAACCATAGCTCG